GCGCGGCTGGTGATCCCATAGCGACTCCTCGTTCTTGGCGGAACAAGTATCCGTTGATCTCGAAGTGACTGTTGTCAATGACAAAGTCGAGGAGGTGCCGGAGATCTTGTTCACGAAAGATTCGAGGGATCTTGGTTTGACGGCGCCACTTTCCTTTGAACATACGGCGTCGATGATCTGACTTGACTTCGTACACGGACCATTGCGAGGAACTGCGAAGGCCAACAACTTGATCATATCGATGGAGAAGCACTTGAAGCGCCTGATGGAATCGTTCCGTAGGAATGGACGTGAAGAAGCCTGACAAGTCTTGCGACACCAGGTGGATGTACTCATCAGGATCTGCTTTTGACAGTGCTTCCCACAGCTGCTGGATAAGTTCTTGTACCGGGAGTTGACCTGCAATGTCGGGGAAAGCCGCCTTGGTGAGTTCAAATATGAGCGCACCGAAGACCGTGAGGAAGGGAGCCGCCCATGTGCGAAAGAATGAAATGATGGGTCGAGCTTTCTGCCAGTCCTTGGTCGGCTTTGGAAGGATGCGCGCTGTGGGCAACGGTGCTTGAAGTCGAAGTCCCCATGCGTATCGTTGACGTAGGAGAGAAGGTACCGTGGTTACCACTTCAGAGCGAAACGATGCTGCGGATTCGCGGCAAAGTGAGAAAACATCCCCCGCGCAGAATGTCTTCCGCATCAATATGGCAAACAGGGACGGGCACACTACATGTGCACGGGAGGGAAAATGATCCGCTGGGATAACTACCCATGAAGACAAAGAGGCCACTGTGCGTTGCAACGATGCCGATGACCAATAAGCCTGATCTTGGAGGTTGATCCGATGGGTCTCCATTAACTGAGCCACGACCGGTTGTAGATCTGGAAGTAGATCGGAACCATGTACATGCCAGCGTCGAGCAAGTTTGCAAAGTTGCGTGGTGAAACGTTGATGCAATAGGTCGACATCACCGAAAAACTGATCCTTCATTGAGGCGGCCATGATTTCCACGTTAATGTCCGCATTGATGCGAGAAAAGTCATCCACCATTACTGCGTGACCATGTGCACGGAGTAGATGGTGGTCATCGATGTCCAAACAGCGACACGGAAAGGATGTGTCAGGCGTCCATTTGCGCTGCCATGTGCGATAGTTGTATATCTTGTCGCCCAATGTGGCGCTGCGGGTTTCCACAACCCGGATCTTTGGAATGAAAAGAGAAGGGAACAGATCCCGATGGGAAGCAATCCAGTTTTGTAACCATGTGCCAAGTAGAGCTTTCCAATTTTGGACATGTAGCGGCGGCAAAAGTAGCTGTGTCAAAGTGGAGGGTGGTTGTAGCCGTCGTTTGCGCAGTACCTGGGCGAGGAGCTTCTGGGCCTTGGAGCGGAAGGGTTCGTTGACGAAAACTGCGAGCCGCAATAAGTAGTACAGCTGAGTGGGAGGGAAGGCGGCCGACAGTAGGTCACGCATGACTTGGAACGACGCTCCTGTATTCGATCCCAGCTGATAGAGAATCGAGTAGTGGGCTTGAATGTCATCCAGTGCGTCAGGTCGTAGTTGTCGTTGGAGATCCGGATGCAGTCGTCGTCGAAAGCGCTTGTGCAAGCCGAGGGAAGTGGGGGATGACAACGAGTGGCGTCGAAAGTCTACAAGGTGTTCCCGGAAGCCCACCTTGCGCAAGATTCTGTGTACCCAGGGCGCATTTAAATGCGGACGTAGCAGGTATTGCCATTTGCTTTCTTGGACCCACACCGAGGAAACTGGAAGTTTGATTTCCACTGGTACAGCACAGTAGAGCCAGTAGGTGTTGGATCGTTTCCAGTAGTGAAGCGCCGGTTCAAAGAAGGCATGTCGTCCACGAAGCAGTTGTAGAAATTTGCGACTGCGTGAGTGTTCACGACGTAGCACATCCTGATCAGTCGCCCCAACATAGTATGGTGTGTGCCATGGGGAAAGGCGAATGTAGACGCACGGTTGCTGGTGATGACCTGGATCATATATGAAGTCATAGAGGTCAGGAAATCGCGCCCGCAATGAGCGTAGATGTCGCGTGTCAGCGAAAGTCGAGTGCATGATTTCACACAAGAGAGAAGTCTTGTAGAAGTGGAGGACTTCAAAGAACGGCGGGAAGTAGCCGTGATCTTGTGAAATAAGACGTTGTAAGAAACTGATCAATAAATAGGCTGCGCACCGACATCTGTGAAGCTCATATCTGTTAGCCACGGTGTGATTAGAGCTGGACATAGCACGATTCGGAATCTGAAGGGCTATCCGGACCACAACTAAGACCTCGAGGATGAGACCCAGCCACGGTAATTGTGTGATGGATTCGTACTCCTCGATTGGAATCGACGGTGGTGGTAGTCCAGGGAAACAGTAATGCCAGCACGTAGAGAATATGGTCAACGAGTGCAGAAGGTCGTCCAGCGACTGCCATTGTGCAACATCATCATAGATTCCGCAGCGGCGAAGTTCATCCAACATGGTGAGATGCAACCAACGAAATCTACCACAAGGCGGCGACATGAATACAAGCATCACAGACAATCACACAAGAGGCAATGCAAGAACAAGCAAGTACAAGATCAATCATGTGCAACGCAAACACTTGACGGACGAGTTTTCACCTGGACTCATCCGTGACATTGTTGCCGCTCCGGGCTCATATGAGAACGAAGGTCGTCATGATGCCTTCTCATCCACAGAGCAGGCGAGCGGTCACGATGAGGTGACTCAATGCCTTCTCAGTGAGTTTGGTAAGGTACCCGGGTTCAAGACCCCATGATGCTGCCATTGCACCGAGTGTGGGCGCATCGCCCTTCGGCATGCGTTGCCTGGCCTGAAGAAGCTGCGTCGCCATAGAATCTAATGACTTGTTGCCGTTGAGCCGGGACGGGTGATTGGCCCACTTAACCAGCGATGCCAAAGTGGTTGTTGTGGGTGCTTGCTTGAGGAAAAGGCGTGGTTGGTCGCTGGTCCATGTGTAGTACTTGACAACTTCCTCCGGCGTGCTGTGCATGGTGAGCAATTGTGACGCCGCCGGTTTGGACGGCGGTGACGACATTCCGTGAAGAGACTGCATGATCCGAGGTTGCACCACGCTATCAAACGACTTGCCATCCAGGGCGGCCGCGCTGGCTGTGGGAAGGGAGCTGGCAGGTGAGGAGGATGGTGTGTGGTTGACCGGTGGTGGTGTAACCAACTCTGCATCATCCTTCTGGTTTGTCATCGTGGGAGAAGTCGATGCACGAAGTGATGCGGAATACTGAGCCTGGAGAAGTTCGTGAGCACGATTCAAATCATTGAACTTTTTGACCATGTCATCGGTCTGGTCAGCGGGTGCGAGAGAGGTGTGATGTTGTTGAAGAAATTGAAGTACCAAGTTGGCCAAATGGTCGTGGACCTTGATGCGCTGATTGAAGTCATCAATGTTGAGACCCATCGTGTTGGCAAGGTCCTTCTCCAGGGTGAGCAGGTTAAGTGACTGCGATCTTCGCAATAATTTGGAGCAGGTACTCCAAAGCAAGGCCTCGGTGCGGGTGCGAAAGCCTTCCCACGTCACGAAGCGGCCGTGTGCAAACGGCCGGAGGAGCCAGTTGGTGAGGCCCCCGTGGATAACCTGAACCAGGCGAACGTCTCTAATATCCATGCCGGACATGTCGCGAAGGTTGCCATGCGGAGTGTTGGCAACAGTCATGGGCAGGCTGAAGTTGTAGAGCTGGTTGACATCAAACATGCCGTCTCCTGGTGTCCAGTCAGGCGATGGAGTAAGCCAGGCTTTCTGAGGACGAACCGGTAGAGCCGCAGGAGGTGCAGGTGATGGTGTAGGTTGGGAGGTAGTGACCGGTGGTGGCATCACTGGTGGCATGAACTTGGATGGCGTGGGATCAGGAGGGATCGGCATCATGTAGTTGATCGCCGGGTATTGGAATTGTTGTGTGGGGTTGTGAGTCGATTGAAAATTGGTGGGCATCATCGGGAAGTTGTTAGCAGCGTTGTAGCCGGAGTTGTGCTGCCATGAGACCAAGTTGTTCCAATCCATGTTCTCCGCGACCTGGTTGTCATTGTGCTCACGTCGGCGTGATTTGTGAGCTTGAGGGGACGGACTCCGATCACGTCTGCGTCGAGTCCTGGATCTATCACGATCATCCCGTCGAGACATGGTGACGCAACCGACTCTGAATTTGCGCACTTCCTCCTTGAGATACTCAGACTCGAAAACGTTCAAATCAATGCAAATGCAAGATAGCAGCCCTCAACTGCAATGGTCACTCGACATGCACAAGGGAAGCAAATACAAGTCAGCAATCACCAACCGCAGTGATACGAGCAACGAGTTCAACCAATAGTCAAGAAATGCAATGAAAATCGGCAGCTATCCGCTGTGGTGAGACGTCTCTATGAACTGACGGCTTTCTTCCCTTTAGTGAAACCTCGTTCCTGATTAAATGTGAAATTCCGCTGTTCTATGATAAGCACGTTGAGGTCAAATTTTCCGACAGAGCCGGCCCGGGGTCACACAATGGGTACACCCGAGGATTCCCCACGAATGGGGTGTACACACTTGAACTCCAGATGGAGAGTGCTAATCTTTCGAGTACAACTGATGAGTTTCGAGTACAACTGATGAGTCTCGAGTATGGTGAGTTTCGACTCGCACATCACTCAGCTTCACTCTAGTTACTTGAACAGGGGCACACAAAGCAACGGCGGTTCAGGGAGGGGACCAAAAGGACCTTCAGAAACATCACTTCACAAAAGCAGGTACACGCGGATGATCAGTCCGCGTTTCCCCCATGGTGGTTAGCTTCGTTGGCACAGGTCACCACCATGGGCCTGTGCCCCCTGCTGCGAAACCGAAAGGGTGGTGACAGGGCATTCTGTCACTCCGCACACACACACACACAGACACGGGGAAGAAAAAAAAAAAACGACAACAAAAAACACACACACACACACGGGGAAAAACAACACAAAAAAAAAAACGAATTTCCAGGGCCGGCGCTGTTCTGATCCTCTTCGCTGAGCCAGGCGGTGCAAATACTCCGCGCTTGCCTGGGAGAAGGGACAGTTCTAGGGGTACCCAGGCAGACTCAAACCCAGGGGTGGATTCCCCCACAAGGGAAACCCGTTTTCTAGGGGTACCATTCCGTGGGACCCAAGAGTAGGTGAAGGCTCACCACCTTTGCTCTTGAGAACAGGAAGCAACACATAACTCTAGGGGCACCTTCCATTTCCATTCTTTCCAGGGATCCTACAAGAAAACCTCCGCAAACCCAGGGAAAACGGATCCGGAGTTTGGAAAGAACGATGGTTGAAAAGAATGGGGAATCAACCCCTAGAACAGAAGCCAGCCAAAAAGTACAGCAAGACGCCTTCTGGACTCTTTGCATGGCTTGGGTGTAATTACTAGTTACTGTGACTCCACTTGGGGTGTCTGTCTTGCGGGTATGCTTCAGGGGGTTGCTTGCTGAAGTAGAAGGAAGGACACCCCCCTTGTTAGGAGGCTGCACTATGTTGAGGCAGTCCTGCATGGCACTTTGACCGTGCCCATTGACCCCGGTTTGGGCGACACGAATTCACAAAGGTGGACACAGGACAGTCACCCCATTTTGTGGGGATCAGCACTAATTCAGCGACCAATTAAGAAATTGCTCTTCACAAAATTCGGGGTCCCTTGATTTGAGACCCTGGGCTTGACCAATTCAGCTTTGGGGAATTGTGTTTTTGTTTTGTTTAGTTTTATTGTTTCAATTATATATATATATATAATGATAAGACGATGGTTGATGGAATTACAGTCCGGGTCTCCACTCCCTCAAACGGCCGCACAAAACCGGCACCAGGGTCTCCAAAGGACCCCCTGGTGAAAACACTTGGCCTGTCTGGACCGTCTGACACCTCTTCCACAAAACCACAGCGCGATGAGGGGTCCAGCGTCTTGACATTCGCACTCTCAGAGCGCGCTAACAGTTGCACTGTCCACCAAGCTGCCTTTCAACAAGAAGTGACTGTTGGTGATCGGGGGAATAACCTAAATCCAATAATTTAAACTCCACACCCTGTATACAGAGGTACCTTGATCATGGTCATACCGACTTCAGGATCCAATGATGTGTCCAATCCCAGAGATGCAGCTAGGAATGAGCCATGCATCTAAACTGACAAAAGGGTTCTTGTATCTTCAAAGCGAGCAATGTACTGAACACCCGCCTTCACAAGAACCTGCTCCCAACTTGTCTTTTTGTTTTGAAGAAAGGGCTAGTGACCCTTGAAATCTCTTGCCACTGCAGGGGCTTCTGAGAAGAGCAATGCGGGGCAGTAGCTTCGGGGTAAGCCGCTTTCAAGGGAAGCCTAAATGAGAAGGTCAACAGCGGATCATTGCGACATGTGCCATGGTGACAACTCCCGGCCCGGGCGCTCAATAGGAATCCTTACAACTCTCGTCCAAAAAGTGATGACCATCTTGGCTAAACCAGAAAATACCACACACATGCATGTGTATCAAACCCAGGCACGAGTTTGCAACCTCTTCGAAAGAGATTGTTTGGAGCGGGACTGTGATTTGGAAACACACCCTTGTTTTTGTTGGTGCATGTTCAAGGGAGGCCCTCTAAACAACATCGAGGAAAACGGTGCTGGGCAAATGGGGCGGAATCCCAATATATGCTGCTACCTAAGAAAATGCGCGAGGTTTCACACCGCTTCTTTCTGCAAAAACTGGTAAGTTCCTCGTATACCGAACCCCCAAATTGACCTTGGACTACAGCAACTTATGACCAAACCTCCTGTCAAACAAGAAAACCAATGAAAACCGACCCCCCCCCCACATGCGGGCGAATCTACAAAGCCGATAGGGGATCATCCAAGAACTGATACCCTCAAAATATATGGAAACTTGCTCGTGTGGGAGTGAGAACATGTCCTCTTTTGGTTTGATTTCAAGGGAAACCTACCATTTGCGGGTCTGACCATTTTGAGACAAAGCAATATATATATATATATATATATGTATATGCCTACCTTCCCAGGTGAGAACGCGAGAAGAAAGAACGCTGAGCCCACCCCATTCCAGCCTCCGCGTCCAATTGGCCCAGGAGACCAAGCGCCCGGGGCCGGGAGAACCGGCGATCCATGTACCTCGGCAAAGGTTTGATTGCGCCGCAGGAATTGGTTGCCCTGTTGGTTTTGGTTGCCCTGGTTGCCGCAAACACGGTTGTACAGCACATAGGCGTAAGAGGTTGCATTGTTGTCCACACATGGAAATGCTATGCCCGGTTGCCTTGAAACCACCACCAAAAAGGAGTTGCAGAAAAAACAACTCTGGCATGAAACAAACAGCGATAAAGCGAAGTAGTCTTCTGATGGTTCTCGGTTTCCCTTCTGTATTGGCTTTCATTTTGACCTGTTGTATGTCTCGCATAAGTAGTCTTCCCGTAGTCCGCCAGTCTTCCAGTAGTTCTGCAAACATCCCCTAGTCTAGCCTTACAGTCTTCCGGTAGTTTTCGAGTAGTCTTCACTTCGTCTGTTCCATGACGCTAGCCAACGTTGAGGATTGCTGGGCAAAAACGAAAGCACATTGAAAGCCATGGTGCTTCAATCGTGAAGCCTGCAATTCAACTGCCAACAAGTCGAGCGAAAAGCTGGAACAAGTACCAGTGGGGAACCTTTGTACGAATAACTGCCACAAGTGGGTAGCAAACACAAGTGGATTTCCAAAAGCCTTTGCAGCAAAAGAGCACAAATTGGTAAACCCCCGCCCAGGTGGCTTGCCAACAACAAGTCCTTGCGGCATTGTGACTTTGTGGCTGCGCTGGGCAATGGAATGGTATTGCAAATCCATTGCATGCGCCCTGCTTTGGGTGAGGGTGTTGGAATTCAATAGGATTTTCTAGTCACTTCTGTGATAGGTAGCTTTGTTCTAGTGCAAAACATAGCCATCGGGACAAATCATTCCCAGTGGAATCACAGAAATCTGATCCATGCTTCACAGCCATGTTTGGTGGATGTGCAAACGGAGGTAAAAACGCGTTGACATGTGAAGGCCCTAACGAACAGGCAATCCAACGAACAAACCAACAAACCAACAAACCAACGAACCAAACCAAGGCGCAAACCAAGCCAAGCTGCAAACCAGAACCAAACCAAGCCAAACCGAACCAACCCAATCAAGAGGACTATTTAAGCCAAGCAACAAAAAAACAAGCCAAGCAACACCAAGTCAACCAAGAGCATCAAGCCGACCAAGAAACAAAGCACCCACCAGCATAGGAGTTCTTTTAGTGCAAATAGATGGCCCTGGTAGATGATTAAACCACCAGGTAAACCAGGAATTGCCATCAATTTTTCTACCAGAACAACCAAAAAGGACACCTATGCCCACCAGTCTCACTGTAGCAGGGGTTCAACGTCCCCATCGCTCGCTCGCGTGCCGAGGTGCCAGCTGGTGAGCCATGCGCCCAAGGGCCCCAAGGCGCGGACGAAGTCCATGGGGGTCCAACCTGCCTAGCGTCGCGCCGGCAGGGATTTCGATGGCAAATCCGATGCTGGGACTTGGGTGTGTGTGTTTCTGTTTTTGATGGCACCCGTTCTTTGGTTTTAAAGGGAAACCGAAGAGAACCGAAGGCAGGGTTCAAGTGAGGTTTCCTCGACTTGCTGCTTTGGGCTTGAAGCTTAAGGCTTGTTTCCCATTTATCCTCTACAAGAACCCTAACCAAACCCACGAATGGTTGCTCAACAAGGATCAAACCACTGAGCATTGTTCTACGGCTTCATTCCCCATTCTTTTCAACCATCGTTCTTTTCAAAAACCAGCTGTTTTCCCAGGGTATTGGGTTGTAGAAAGATGCGGATGCCTGGAAAGAATGGAAATGGAAGGTGCCCCTAGAAGTGTCCCAGGGTTCCCCCCACACCACAGCCCAATCCCCACTAAAATAGGTTCTAAAATTGGTGGTGAATTCACCTACCCCAACACGAAATCCCAAAACGTTTTCAAAACATAGACTAAAATAGGTGGTGCACCTACCCCAAAATGGTACCATTCGTTTTGACCCACAGCCACCTGCCTCCCACATCTTCTGGACGCGCAGCAGCAAGATCCTCTGCCACCATGCCATCGACTGCAGCCGCTCCTCCGTGAATCCGGCATCGGGGCTCTTGGGAAGCATGCCCACCTGAGCCACGGGTCTCCCCAAAATATGCCTTCGCTTCTCGTGAGGGGCGTGAACCAAAAAAGTCGAGTGGGTCCGCTGTTGAGTAGCTCGGTTGAAATGATGGTAAGCCCTCACATTGACCATAGACTGCTGGATATGTTCACCGAAACTCACCTGGAGTTCCCGGGTCCAGCCAGGCAAGTTGCCAAAAAGTTTAAGGGACAAGATCCAAGCGAAAGTCTTTCTTTCTGGAGGGGGAGGACAGAAAGGCCTGGAGAAAACAAACAGGGTTCCCTAGCAATACCACGGAACATTTACACCTACTCGGCCCAAAAGGCGGTTGTCATGAATAAACATATATATATATATTATCACAGTAATTTGGCGTTGTCTCCTAAAAAAGGACAATTCCAAAAGCACCCTGGGAGCCGTGCTATCGGCTGCTGCCCGCGCACAAACAGGTTGTGTTTTGCTGGCGATTCACCAGGAAACACACACACACACACACGCACATGTAGTTGTTACATTTGTCTCAGCAAAAGCAGTGTAGCCAAGCAAAAACCTGCTGACAAGCACGGAAAGCTTAAAGAGCATGTCAAGTTCGGAAACAAGGACGAACAGAAGCCGGCAAGGTGAATGTAATCCACCTGCAGAAGATTGGACGACTCGAACTTGTATGTTTGGGTTTAGAACAAGTGACCCTTCAAGGTGGTTCCCTTGAGTTGTTCGTTGGCTTCCCTTCAAGCACCTCATCCCCCTCTTGCTTGTGTAATTGGAAAGGGCTCCCAAAACAATTTCACGTCGCAGCGATTGCTTCGCCACCCTGCGGCATTTTGGAGTCGGCTTCATTACTTGTTGGGCATGAACAATGCCCGGAAATCTTTCGATCCTAATTTCAAAGCCATCACTGATAGTATCATTTCCTCAACCCAGCGTTGCCACCTTGCTGAGGCATGTGTGCTTTGCATGCAGGAATCCCAGACCACTGCAACTGAACCAACCAACGTTTTTTTAGCACAAACTACACTATGTCTACTATGATACAATACCAATACACATGAATATATGTATATGCATATACATGCGCGCAAAGATTGTCATATGTTGGCCCAACACGCTCACATCCCGATTTCCGCAGGGATGCTTAGTCAAAACTCAATGAGCCGAGGCGGGCGGCGCGCAGCGCTTACAATTCTGCATATCCATATATATATACATATATACATATATACATACATATATACACATATATACATATATATATATATATACATTATGTGTATATGGTCAGCCCCCCCCCCCCACCAGATAAGTGCAGATGGCACAGAAAAGCCTTAAAGGTAGATCATGCCAGGGGGGGGCTGAGCATGTATATGTATATGTATTAATATATATATATATATTGTTTACATGTTTTGCTACTGAAATCATTTGGGCAAATGATTACATTGCAGGAGTTCCTACTCTAATGTATTGGTATGTGGACGACCCATAGTTGACGAAACGGGAAGGGGCTGAAGGGGCTGACTGAAACATTCGATTTGCGGTTCTGCCCCAAACAAAAAGCACCTGTCGGAGACCACCAAGCCAAGCCCCACCAGCCCCAGATACCACAGGGCGCAAAGTTCCAAACAGCAGCACGAGACCCAGCTAATATGATACGAGGACCGTGAAAACTCACAAAGGTCGGCAAGAATAAGGTCTTGGGCCTCTAGGCCGCACTTTGACAAAGGTCGTTACCCTTCCTTGCCCTTTCACCGGAAACGCACTTCAAAGGATAGTAATTTGTTGAATTTCTGGTTGGTGATGGTGCAACAACGTGCTCTTGAAGGCACAAACAATACACTGTAACAAACATAGCCGGTCCGACAGCACTGGCCAAATGGCTTTACGTGTACCACTGCTCAAAGATGCCCAGTCTCAAACAAACTTCCACTCGCTACAACATGGGTTTGTGTCCAAATGGTTTCCACTTGGCTTCCCTTTGAAGAATCAACACAAGTGCCTCAAAATATGGTCCCAACCGCATCCCCGTCGGCCTGGGTCTATTAAAGCAGCATACTCAAGCTTACCCTCTAAATGCTTTGAGGAGCTTCGAACCACGAAATTATGAACCTTTGGTGAATCCTTGAAATCTTTCACCACTTTCAGGGACCCAGGCCACCGAAACCAGGGCGGGCAGCCGTTTTACGACACACCTCCGCGTGCCGGTGAAATGGCGGTGGGGCAAAAATAGGTACCCGAAATGGAATCCTGGTAAATGGAAACATGGACCAAACCTGCGGTCCCCTGGTGGTATAATTTTGACCGATACCCAAATCCTCGTCCCGCGCGGCGTGCGTAAGTCCAAGGGGCAGGGCTGGCGAGGATCAAGGACTCCACGCGCTGGGGGTACTTCATGGCGTAGCAGGCTGCGAAGTAGCCCCCAAAGCTGTGGCCCAACAAAACCACCCGCTCCTCGGGCTGATCCAAAGGGAGGCGGGAAACACGTCCCTCAATGCCACGTGCCTTCCCGACAAAAAGGAACCATGAAATTAGAATGAACGATCCCCCGGCGGGAAACACAAAATGGATCTATGCAATTATAATAAACATTCCAGAGGTCACCTCCTCCCCCAATTCCGTGTTTAAGCGAGTGGGGATAGCCGTGAAACCGCAAAACATGGGGAGACACCCTTCTGAAATCCAGTTCTAAAAGTTCTAAAGTTTCCATTGCGTGGTTGCTGCTTTCGTTGCGCTAATGAATTTGCACCACACAAATGGTGAATGTCGTCGTGTTTCGGTGTTTCGGGGCGCCTGCCGTCAAGTGGCACTCTCCAGCTTGCCGGCATTGGAACTTCCAACTGTTGCTGGGCAAGGGACAAACGCAGATGCGACCCCGTGGCTGGAGTTGCTTTAGGCTTGGTTGCAGGCTGAAGTTCTGAAGGCTGAACCATCCAGAACTTTCATAAAAGTCCAAGGTATATAATCATTTTGAAACCAACCCAGCAAGCAAGCAACCAGCCAGCAAGCCAGCCAGCAACCAACCAACCCAGCCAGCCCAACCAATGAGCATCAGATGCTTTGCTGCATCGCAATGCCTCACAAGACTTCGCGGCCTGCGGAAGCTGAATGAAGCTCGATCAACCATCGCCCTTTCAGGCTCATCTGACCAGGAAGTCCGGTGGCATCAGAGTTCAACATTTCAGACCTGCTGCAAATGATCTCGGTTGACGTTGGAAGGGGAGCAAACAACACAACATTTAGCAGTTAAGTGGGGATTTCAACCACTAAACCACCATAAGCAAAATGTACAATGTTTTCCAACAAGCATGTGATAAGCATCCGAACGTGGCCTAGCCTTTCTAATCACCAAACCTGTGGCCTAGCCCCGCGTAGCCGACTCGAGGCAAGCTTCCAGCCCCATGGCTCTCCGCCAATGCTCGATGCCTTCGACGAAGAAGTCCTCACAGGCCTTCAAAAACTGGTCGTGCTGACAAGGCCATGGGTCAAAAGCGAAGACTCAAGGAGACCAAAACTGGTTGGAGTCAAGGGTCATCAACTTAAATGGCCATGCAAGGCAGATTGAATCCCAAGGGTGAGTTTTCTTTTTGGGGGGGAGTACTAACAAGGCCATGGGTCAAAAGCCAAATCGTACCCCCAGTGAACATCCGATTCAATCCAAACACTAAAATCGGTTCTAAAATGGGTGGTAAATTCACCTACCCCAAAATGGTACCATTGGTTTTGACCCACAGCCAGATTCTGTTTTGGATTACACCAAAGCAGATTTAATTCCAAGGATTAGTTCCCCCTTTTGGGAGAACATCAGCCAACCGTGGGTGTATGTTGAATCGTGGGTAGTCAAAATGCAGACGGGTGCCAGCTGGTGAGGGGTACACCAGTCTCCGGCTTTAACAAGCCGCAGTCAACATAACAACCCTAGTCGTCTGGAAGCTTTGAAAGGGATTGGACCAATGTAACCTCGGTTGCTTTCTGCTCCCCTGCTAAAAGTTTAACTTTTAGTGGTTTAATACAAAAAAACACAAAAACACACTTAGTTGGCCAATAGGGATGAAGCAAGGCTCTTCGACACCTATCCTGGGGCATGGGTTGGCATGGGGGGTGGAATTGAACCAAGTTTTGCTTCACCTCAACCCCTGCGTCAAAAACAAGCTCGTCCCTGTGGGCGATTGTAACTCAAGGTTTGAGCCGATGTTTCTAAACAACGGATGGACATGCGGAGGAGGGTACTTTTGGATCTGCACATCTTTCCCATAAGATCGCGTAATAATGTCGCGTAACCGAACAGACTGGCACTTGCTCTTGGTAGGGCAAATTTAAGACTCGAAAGTTTCCCCAACCTACGATCCGCTGGAAACCACTGGTTTGATGTGTTCAAATAGCTGGGGGTGGCTTGAAGGACGTCAGGGTAGCTAATGAAGCCTCAGGAAACTGGCTGAATGGATGAGCTGGCCGAAGTTTCCTCAGGAAGCTTCACCTCACCCGCTAACTCAAGCACAAAGAAACAAGCAAACAAACAAACAATCAGCCAATCCACCAATCAACCGATCGAGGCATGGCCTACAAAACACCAACCAACAAGCGACTAATCAACAAGGGACCAGGGCTTCATTCGCCAACACCAACTCAACCAAACCACAACCGAAGATAAATATGACCAAGCAAAACATCGGCAGACATATCAAACTTCCGCAGCGAACCAAACACCCAGTTGTCAAGTCAAACCCAAGCCACGACCACCACCCAACCAAACACCCAGCTGTCGGGGACACTGGCCTCAGCGCCCTGCGTTTCTGAAAAGTTGTTCCTGGCCGCAAGCTGCGTGTGCCGATTTCTTGGTGACACAGCCTTTAAAATGAAGCGGGACCCAGAAAATGATCAAAACCGCCCCACAAAATCGCCCCACAAACACTCACCCTCGGCGCCCTCGCAGTTTGGCCCAAGGCAGGCTTGCCAACCTCAATCAAGTTAAAACGGGGCAGTTGTAGGATCTTTGAAGTGGCCGAAATCGGCGGCAGGGCGACTTGCAGCGGAACGTTCCTACCTCCAGGAACACCGCGATGCCCATAGCTACGCAAAGCAATCATCAGATTGAACAACTACATCAGAGCGTTTCCTTGAGCTGAACGAATCAAACGAAACGCGAATTACACAGGCCCGATGCGACACCCCTATTCCTCTATAAGTTCAACTCATGTTTTGAGATCACGTGGGTGGTCAAAAGTCCTTCCCTGGGGCATGGTCATGATTATTTTGCAAAGAAAACTTGTCATGATATCCATGACCATATTGAGTGCCCCCAATACCCAAGTCTTTTGACCATGACATGGGCGGAAACGATGGGATGTTGCTACGACGACTTCTTTCTCCAAAGACCCTGGCACAAGGGTTAATTCAACAATTTCACCCTGAACGAAAAGAAAAAGGAGAACGAAAAGAAAAAGGAAAACAAAAAGAGACACCATTTATCTTTCATCAATCTTTTGAGAACGGCTCGGAGCAATCTTGTGCGACCACAGGGTTAGGGTTAGGGTTAGGGTTAGGGTTAGGGGGTCGAGAGGCGAGGGGAGCGAACTGGAAGAGCGTTTTGAACCAAGCTATGTTCTTGTGTCTATGTCTATTCCTGGGGTCCAAAATCGTGTTTTTTCAAAAAATGAGTATAGGAGATGCTGCGACAAAAAACCCCAACACACAAACATAATACTAACCCTCTTAGTAAAGCCTGATTAAAACTGATTTCCCTCGGGGGTCCAAAATCGTGTTTTTTCAGAGAATGAGTATAGGAGATGCTGCGACAAAAACCCTAAAAATAGCGCAAAACTCGAGGCCCCGAGGGAAATTAGTTTTAATCAGGCTTTACTAAGAGGGAAAAGGGCAAAATTCGAGGCCGGCCGTAGGGTTTTCCCCTTTTGTGTGTACTATACTCATTTTCTGAAAAAACACGATTTTGGACCCCCCGAGGGAAATTAGTTTTAATCAGGCTTTACTAAGACCATTCCTACAGAAATGGGTTTCCGTAGGCGTGTTCTGTTGGCCCAGCACGAGGCCCACACCCTTGATTGCACACGCAGTCTTGCTTCGTTGACCTTTCACAACCAAAGGTTGTGTGTGTTTAGAATCGGCTTCTTCTCGTTTTCGCGCCGCCCACCATTCCAAGCAGGGAGACAAACCACGGAACCTTCGGACAGAGTCTGGCCATGGGTCAAAATCCAAATCGTACCCCCGGTGAACATCCCAATCCAACCACTAAAACAGGTTCTAAACTGGGTGGTGAATTCACCTACCCCAAAATGGTACCATCTGCTTTGATAGACCTGCCCTCGCCTGGTTGAAAGCCCCCAGCCAGGCCAGTCGATGGCGTGCACGGAGCGCCCGCTCGTGGTCAAGGGCTCCATACTCTGCGCCCAGCTGGCGGAACCTATCAGATCAGATCGTTGGCTTCCATCTCTAGGTCTTCCAGTAGAGAGGTTAGAATCAGGGTACCCCTTTTTCTGCAGCCTAATTTAGTAGGGGAACCCTCCCCCGAAAAAAGGTAAAAGGGCATAATCACAACAATGCATAGTGGGAGAACATGGTGCGTGGCTCCGGGTTTGAGCTGAGCATGTCATAGTTTTGGTTTCCATTTCGCCATGGCCATAAAGATATTGCAAGCAATTCGGACACCGTGTTTTCTTGCAGAAGTGTTTAACTTTATTTTTACAAGATTGGTCTGGTACTTGATCTAAAGAGATCCCCTACGCCTGATCTTGGGGTCGGGGGAAAACTTAATGTTTTGTGGTTGCTTAGGGTTCTTAATTCCGAGGTTGAAACAAAACACAACAGGAAACATGACACCTCAAGCAAGTGGAAGCATCATGTCTGATTCTCCGATTGGCTAAATTCGGGCTCCGGACTCAAATTCATTGCAAGTTCAATGAGTACAAAAGGTGGGAGGATACTAGATGCAAACTCGTGCCAGTCGGATGCCGGATGCATTGCCCCAAACAGTATAAGCAAAAACCTCAAAAAAAGGTCTTGGCCCTGTGAAATACAGTACGAGCTTTTTCCAGAAATGATTGCAGGGAGGATCTGAGAATGCTTGCCCAGTCTTCAATAGAAATGGCATCGCGCAGTCGTGCGCGATACAAAGATTGGTATAAAGACGAGCGAAAAAGAATGAGCGCAAGGACGGTCTTGTCTTCCGTGTATATATATACACGTTAAAGTTCAGACGCAGGCAACACCACGTATGATATCGAAGGGAATGGCTTTGTTAAAGTGCTTCCATCTCCGCTCTCCCAACATGGTGGTCGTTGAGCTGCAAGGTGGCAGTGCTGCTGATGAAAAGCCTATCTTCTTGCTCCCCGCAAATGACATTTGGAAGTTGGCAGTTCCCTGTCGGCTTCGCGGGTTTCGGCTTGTATTGGCTTAATTGTGCCCACCGGTTGTGAGCTTTGCTTTACTTGGCGGTCCTGGTACAGGCAAACGACAAAGGCCTAAGTCACTCCTTTATCTGTGTGGCCACCCATGTAAGCGCCGATGAGAAGAAGTCACTCCTAAGTCACGCCTCGGCAACAATCCCCATGGAACGCTTGATATCACCGAGCTGATCATGCTAAAAAAGACAGTTTAGGAAGATGACACAATGGGTGGGCTTTGCCGGCTCTTGCACCGTGTTTCTCACGTCCTGGAGTTCTTTCTCTGGAAGGCAGGCAGGCACACACGCGATGCACACTGGCAAAAAACGAGATCAAAACGAGATCAAAACGTGATCACCGATCGTCCGTTGAAGAGTTTGGGCCCACATGTGCCGAACCCGCGCCCACAAGTTCACTCACTTCTGAACCCGCTCCCATCAACTCACTTCCGCGCCCACTTTTTGACTCAATTCCGCACCTGCGAACGCCAGCCGCTCAAGCGCGCCTGCTCAGCCCTGCGCGCACACAGCCAAATGGTAAGCACCCCCGCTCAAGCACACCGGCTCAGCGCTGCACAGACGCCAGCCAAATAGTAAGCACCCCCGCTCAAGCGCACCCGCTCAGCCCTGCAAACACGCCAGGTTAGTCCGGGTGAGAGGAAAAGCAAGGCGCCGACGACTCGAACCAGCTGTAGCAAAAGAGACGTCAAGTCTCAAGATTGCGAAACACACTGTAAACGCTCCCAGGCGGATAAGATAGAACATGCCTAAACCATCCTAAGCCCCACGCAATAACAATTGTCCACTGCAATGCCTCCCAAAAGCCTATCCCTTCAAACATGCAGAGTTCCTATGCGTTTTGGAAAGAGGCACGATCCCCCATGGAATTTAAGCAATGCCTCAAACGAAGGCACGACTTTGTCAAATCCCTGTACCTTTCTGTTCTGTGGGCGCGAAGCAATCCCGCTCCAGAAAGTCATGCTAGAAACATTTTTCTTGTACCTTTCTTCAGAGTCGCCCCTTTGGAAGGAAGAAAGGTTGAAGGGTTGCACCTGCCCCCTTTTCACTGGAAGAAAGGTCGAAGGCTTGCACTTCACTTTGACCAACCGCCCTACCCGCCGGCGCTTAAAACAAAAGTCGACTTCTCGTCACTTTGACCAACCGCCCAACCGCTGTGCTTAAAACACACATCGACTTCTCGTCACTTTGACAACCACCCAACCGCCGTGCTTAAGAAAAACAAATCGACTTCTCGTCACTTTGACCAACCGCCCAACCGCCGTGCTTAACAAAAACAAATCGACTTCTCGTCACAAAGACCAACCGCTCAACCGCCGCGCTAAAAAACAAAGACTTATCGTCACTTTGACCACCGCCGTGCTTAACAAAAACAAATCGACTTCTCGTCATTTTGACCAACCACCCAACCGCTGTGCTTAAACAAAACACAAATCGACTTCTCGTCACTTTGACCAACCGCCAAACCCGCCGTGCTCAACAAAAACAAATCGACTTCTCGTCACTCTGACCAACTGCCCAACCGCCGTGCTAAAACAAATAAATCAACTTATCGTCACTTTGACCAACCACCCAACCGGCCGTGCTTAAAAAAACAAATCGACTTCTCGTCACTTTGGCCAAGCACCCAACCGCCGTGCTGAAAAAACAAAAAAACGACTTCTCCGCCCAAACCGCCAGTGCTTAAAAAGAAATCCACTTCTCCACTTCTCGACTTGTCGAAGGGCCCATGAAGTAGCCGTGGATCAGCAGAACCGGCGCCAGGCCGGCGGCGCCGGACTTGGCCAGGCTCAAGGTGTGGATGGTCTCGCCCTGGCCCACCGGCACCTCTGAGATGTGCACCTTGGACCTGGGGGATGTGAAGTAAGCGGCGGGTTGGTGGCTGTGGCCGAAACGCGGAGCAGCTTGGACGCATGTGGAACACGGATTTGTGGCTTTGGCCAACAAAATGAGGTCCAAAGAGGAACCACGCCAAAAGTTGGAACATGGCAAATTGGTAAGTCAAGACCCTGAGACAGGGATGTCCTTCCAGGCAGGTGTTGGACACGGGCAAAAGCGGGCTTTTAGAAAAGGACCTGAACCACGTCCAGACCTGTGGACTTCCATTGGGATTCTCACTTGAGCGGATGGGCCAAAACAAGTACAAACCTTTTGTTCACTAAAACGGTCTTCCTAAGCTTACAGTCCAGGACCTCAAAAAGTGAAGATTCCACAACAACCCCTCAAGGAAAATCAGGGCACCACAAGTCCTGAGAATACGTGCAACCCCACAAGTTGAATCCGCGAGCATACAGGCACCCCCGAGTGTAGCGGAAGCTTATTCACACTAAGGGTGAGGGGCCTCAGCCGCTGTAGGGACGACCTTTTTTAAGCGCCAGTGCCAAAAGATGAGACCACAAAACAATCACCAAGTCTATAAATAGGCAGATAGATATCTTGGCCCAAATATTGGGTGCGCCAAAAACCAGAATACGGCCCACATTATTTAGCCCAGCCGTTAAACAGAAAGAAACCACAAATTTTGGAGGAGAACAGAGATATCATGCATCTACCCGTCAAAAGGAACAACGTATCCCCTCACAGTGCGTGATGACCCACTCCCCTACCAGGGAAGCCTCATCCGCCAGGTCATGAAGCTTTTGACAGGAAAGCACAAACATTGGCTTGCTCAACCGTTTGGCAGCCGGGTCGCCAGCGTGTTACTGACGAATGCGGGTGGCATGTTGAGAAGCTTTTGAGCTCTGATCGAGTTCCCTTCTGTTCTTGACGTCCTCTGTGAGAAGTTTCAAGGGGATGTTGATGGGTAACAACCCCCTCGAGGGTTCCAGACTTGGACCCTCCGTGCTTTTCCAGCTTCCAAGCTTGTGATCTGGGGCTTTGCTTGCAGGTTCCATCTCGGGTAGCAATGCAGATCTGTCGGACGACTTCCTTCCATCCAAACACCACCCTAAGGGCCGATGACAAACTGAAGCAGTAAGGGTGGTCCTGGACGAGGTTCAGCAGTTGGCAACGTGCCACCAGTTGGACCCTTGAGTGCCTGCTTGGCACAACTCTTATACATCCAGGGGCCTTGCCCTTCTTGGCGAACGACCCCCGCCCAAAAAGAGGCGCTTTCTCTTGGCTTCGGCAATGTCAGCCGGTACGCATAACTTTCAACATGACAAATCACGCAGCAATTGGATCAGGATTCACTCCATTCGCAATATGAACAAATACAATCCCGGGACTATTTCTTGGCGTCTCCTCTATTCGTTGCCTGTATCTAGAGGTCGGACTAAAGGGTACCCTTTTATTCTGTACTCTATTTTAGGGGAACCCTCCCAACCAAAAAAGAGAAACGGCAAATGGGCAGCTAGCCTGGGGACCTAGTTTAACCCCCCAGCACGGGAACGGACGCCGTTTTCGCGCCGAGGAGCACGTTCTGCAGGAGCTTGGCCTCCGCTTGGCGGAGCCGCTCCTCCGTGGAAAGCACGCCCAGACGCAGGCCTCGGCGCTGGCAGATGGATGTTCCGTTCGGCCCCCCAAAATGGGTATGGGGCAAAATTAAACCAACAGGATATGGACCGCAGGTTTAGTCCATGTTTCCATTTGCCAGTGGTTTTGTTTCTGTTTGGGTACCTATTTTTGACCCACACAGAAATGACCATGGCCAGCTTTCCCATATGGGGACATCATCTTTTACGTCTTTAGTGGTCTCACCAATGGTAATTCCACGTTAAAAAAAAGAAGAAGATCAACCCTCAAATGCGGATTCTAAACTGGGCTGCTCTCAGATCCCCCGCTAAAAGGGACTGGGTTAAATGGAAACACTACTAAACACTGAAAAGCTAAAAGGCTAAGAGGATGGCTGGGAGCCACCAAGAAAACGGAGGCTTGGCCAATCCGAGTCTCCACAAGCCCCTTTTGGGCAGCCGCTACAAAGAAGACCGGTTCCTTGCGTAAGGAAAGGATTAAGGATTGCCTTTGAACGGCCCAGTCTTAACACGGGCTCCCTATGCTTCTCCTTTGAACATCACCCCAGAAAAACACCACTTTAAATTCGCCGAAAGGTCGACTTTTTTTGCCATCCAAACGGGAACTGTGGGGGAAGCAGGGAACCCAAAAAAAGATGTCTTAAACGTGGGCGGGCTGAGCTCGGTGGGTGCCGCATGCGCCGGTCGCCAGTTGTTGAGCAAACCCCCGAAATAGACGCGCAGACGGAGGTTGGTGGTTGTTTTCTCATGTATCGATTGGAACCCCATGTCAGGACATCTCCAGGGTCTATGTTCTTTATTGCAAGTGGTTTGAAGGGAAATATAGGTACACTTGTTGGAGTGGGTACCCTTTTCAAGAATTCTATATATTTTGTTATTTTTTGTTCAAAGCTAGGTACTGTGTCTTCGTTCCAAAGCGAAAACAGAAGGAAACCACCCTTTGTTTGGAGGTGTTTCAGGGAATGGAAATCATGGAAACCACAAACACATGCTTGTGGAGTTGTTTCGAAGGACAACTCACCATTTTAAGACGCTTTCAGGTGGTTGTCTTGTTTTGAGGGTACCTTGTTTTGCTGGCCGAAGGGAAGTACAATTGCCAAATGGCAAAAGGGAACCAACATGAGTCTTGCAAACTGGCGCTAATTCCGAATCAATTTGTTCTCATGTTCGTTTGATCCCTTCTTGAGGTGGTTTTAGCGGGAAACCACAGGACACGGTGCCATGTTTGGGCTTCCCTATTTAGCTACAGAAGACAGTGCAGACATCACTTGCATGGCGGCTTTTAGAATTGGAGGGTGTTCCAACATCACAATTGGCTTCGTCTCAACATGAACGAACATGGCTGCGTTCCATGCGAGCAGCTCTCAAAACTTGGTGTTACCCCAGAGAACGGAAAATCGTCAGTCCCCTGGTCCGTTTCTTTTTGTGCTCATGTTTTCCCAAGCTGGATGTGTTCACCACTGGATGTATTGACAGAACCCAGACCTGGACCTAACTTGTTGCTGGCAGAAAGGGACAACAGAAAGCGCCTGCAAAAAAGGTAAGTTACGCCCGGCGAGGTTCCTTTGGGGGAAGCAATCCAAGCCTGCTGTTCAATTGCAGGAGCACCCTCAGAAGTAACCCCAGCGACAGCCCAACCCGACCCACATTGTCCATATTTCAGAGTCTCTAAACACCCAAAGCAATTTTGGAGGAGACCCCAGCTTCATACAGGTGTTTCCGAAACTAGCGGGCCACAAAAAAAAGGTGGATTCCTTTTGGTTCACCCTCAAAACCTCCCGGAAGGGGGTCCAACATTTTCAGAAAAGGCCAGAACCCCAACTGCCCGCTGCCCAAGCTCAAGCTGCGCAGCCGCTCTGCCAGCGGCAGCGACGCGCTCAGCCCACTCAGTGAACAGCGGACGGCATCCAGGACCAT